ACAGCAGAAAAATTTACCGTTGGGGACGAAAGTAGCAATTTTTCAGTAACGTAGACTGATGTTATATGGTTGGTTCGCTACACCTAACTACTTTTAACTATGTGTTGGTTGTATTCGTCAGCAAGTTCTGAGTTTTACTCAATGTCAAGTCACAACTGACTGAATTTCCCCGACCTATCCGAAGAAATGGAGTCTTAAGGGAATCAATCAGACAGGAAGAGAGAGAAAGAGAAAAAGAAAGGGCATCTATCGGTTGTAATTATGAACGCTTCCGTGCCTGTTTCGAATATCTTCGCCTTTCTATTTTGTGTTCATCGTTGGTGTAGCGTCTTTCGATGACAATGTGGCCGTCTCGTCCTCCGTGTCCGCCGAGTGAACTGTCTTGTGGTGACTCCGCAAAGCGAAGAGACAAAAAACAAAATCCAATCAACGAGTCACAGGTCGACAGCCTCGCCGTAATTTTTCCGCTGCACACTCACGCCGCCATCTGTTAACGATTCCGCTAATACGTTGAAATCAATCAACGTCCCAGACCAAACACTGCTACACGCAGTCATTCATTCCTTTGTTCCTTCGTCTTTCACCCCTAAACAAACCTGCGAAGTGCGGTGTACCAACAGATCTTAACGTTCTCATCTCCAAACCCAACCCCCTGTCCTGAGTCAACCTCAAACACATTAGCTTCATTCTGTCAGCAGTGATCATTACGTATTACGTAACGTCTGCATGCTTATGCGTGTGCTGCCCGCAGGATATGATGAGGTTTCTGATACGAGTACGTTCACTGGCCTATTCTTGTGTAAGGTGGCTCCGATAGGGTAAAGCGCAACGACCCGCTTATGGTTGTTTGTTTTTTCTGTTCGCTGGGCCATCTTAGTAGCCTCGGAGACTAGTGTTGTTCCACAAACAAGGCATAGACAATCGAAACTGGTGCACAGGGCGAGGTCCGGACCATCTGTCTAGTCGCACGAGAGGGACTAATGAGTAGGCCGGGCAAACGCACCCTACACGGGCAAGCATCGAAAGAGCCCGGCAAAATAACAGCAAGACAAATCGGTAGAATGAGAACTGCATATCCTAAGCCGAAGAATAAGCACTGGAGAATGCTCGTGCAATGCGGAATTTGAGCGTAATTGTTATGCTGACGTCGATAAGGGTTTGAAGCATCCTCTCACTACAAGGCAATACGAAAGAGGTTAAAATCATAGGACAGTTGTACGCAATCGGCAAGGGACTGAAAGATTCAATTTTCGTTCCAGGTAGAAATATACGCTATCTCGGTGGTATTATGAGGAAAATCGTTAGGTTAACCTAACTATCGGTGGCTAGTATGTTTGCTTTATTTATTTCTTACTGGATTTGTTTTCATAAATGTATACGCCACAAATCGGTTCGGTTGTCAAAGATTACTTTGGTCACTCGTTACTTACACTGACCATTCATGAAGCCTGGAAGCGGACGTAGAAGGACACAGGTGTTCACAGAAAGCATATATTGAAGACATAGCGGACATAGGACGCAGTACAAGACAGTAGCAGTAGGCACAGTGTATACCAGATGTCTACTATGACTTTAAAACAAACTGAATATCACAAACTAAGCATTAAGAACTAAACAACAAGATCAAACTCAACATCGATCGTCGTTCAAGGCTTGTCACCCGTGGCCGTCCCGTCCATATGTCCTCGTCTACTGTTGTTGCTGTTCTGATTTGGAAGAGAAAAACTCTTACACGACAATGTTTTTTTTTTTTTTCCTCGGATCGTTTGTTTTACAGGCTCGACCAAAGAGGCGTAAAACTGCACTATCTTCAAAGGACAAGACTCGCACAAGCATTCCGATGGTTTGGAATTCGCTTAGTTATGATACCACACGTCATTAAACTTGTGTTTCCCAGCAACCCATTTCAAGTGCTCACCGAGTTCTTAATTTTTTTTCTTTACACAGATGAAATATTCCACGTGTCGAATAGCGAACTACCGGTCGTTGTCACTGCCAACTTTTTAGTTACAAGACAAGCGGTCTTCGGTTATGAAGTATGCAGCGATAACAGCGTGATTTCACGATTTTCAGTCGTGGTGCTCTATTTTTATACGTACGGCGTTTCATCAATAAGTCTGGTGACCATATTCATATGTCGGCACACATTCAAGTATTACATGCAGACAGATAACATGTGGTTCTATTTTATCACCACTTCTATATATTATTACCATTAAAGGAAAACCAGTTTCTGTACAGCATCGAGCGAAATCAGTAGTGACTCCTGCTTATCAAAAAACGACGACTGACGAAAAATTGAATCGAATTAAACCATTTATTTTCCTAACAACACACACCACGACTATGGAGAAATTCATTGGCGAGAAGCTGTTGTGCACAGCCTGGCTATAGGCCAGAGAATCGTTTAACAAGGCCGATGAATCATGTACCTTAACGTCAATTAATATCATCATCATCATCATCATCATCATTATTATTATTATTATTATTATTATTATTATTATTATTATTATTATTATTATTATTATTATTATTATTATTATTATTATTATTATTATTATTATTATTATTATTATTATTATTATTATTATTATTATTATTATTATTGCTCCGCTCAGTATTCACACTTACCTACTAAAACACTCATGCAATGCGACCTCGCACAGTGATATGGAGCAACAAAATTGTTCTGACCGATTATCTCTGGAATACCCTATAGGCTAAAGTACGCGTTTATGCCACCATTAGTCTGAGTGTGGTCGAAAGCGAAACAACGCCAACGCTGCTGCCACTAAGACCACCACTTTCCATATTGCGCTTCCAGCACGTGCTCCCACGGCATCACTGGTATTTGAGTCCATTACGAGCAAAGCCGCGCGATTGAGAGAGAATATACGATCCCGCTATCTCATTCGCGAACCGCGAGCCGTTTAGTGGCGGCGCCATAACTGATTGGGCTGCCCCAAGTTCCGCGAAGCCAAAGCACTTGCAAAAGACGATATCGAAACCGCAAAACACTGGCGAAGTTTATTAGCCCCTCCCGCGGTCACACGAAGCAATGGCAGCAGCAGGCAGAGTGCGTATATATTGCCGCTGCGGGGCTGCTATCACAACAAGTACATTAGGCACGCGTTGCATTTTTTCATATAAGTGCCAAGGATATCGTGGAGGGCGCGAACGCGTTATCAGCAACAGAAAGCTGCAAGTTGAACGCTCTTAGTAGTGTACCCACCGAAATGTCTGTCGAGTGGCCACCGGTCAGATTTTGCCGCCGGTCGCTTTCTAATGAATGACTATGTCATGTGGAGGCGCAGCGCAGAGTGGCGATAATTAAGCGATATAGATCTGACTCAATAGTGAATACAGCTTACAGCCCTCGTCTCTGTCCGAAAATAGACCGATGCCTTCATGAACCAAATGAAAGTCGAAGCTATAGAGGAATACATTGTGGTGTCACCCGCTGAAGGGACGGTAACAACCTGATACTGACGGTAACAACCTGATCTTGCCCATTGTGACGGAAGCGCGAACAATGGGATAAAAACATACATGGCACAGTGCTTTGTCCTGTATGTTTGTCAACCAACCGGTCCACCAAACAAAGCCTGAGCTTGTCAATTAAAATTAAATACAATGGGACACGCAAAGAGTGAAGTTTGGCGCAAATGTTAAAGCAGGCGAAATAATTGGTAAATAATTTTGAACTTTGTATTTTGCTCCACCTCGGTTATTGGAAGACATGGCAATGATTCTTGCTAAAAACTAGGGCAGTATTTTTTTAGCGATCGAGAGAAAGAGCGTATGGCCACCGTTGACAAGAAGAAAACATGGTGGCCAAACTCACATTCATGTAATATCTACATTGTAAGAAGTGAGGCCTCGGATTCGCCATCTTGGCGAGAGATGCGGAGGATCTCCCTGACTATATATAAGCACATCATTTTTCTCGTCGAGATGTTGAGCCTGTGGCCTGTCCGTCACAATGAATAACCGACATCTACCATCTTGCGGCTTACACAAGGTATGTTCGAACACTGTGTGCCGTCGGCGGGTTCGTGCTTCATGTGCCGTCGCTCACCGCAAGGGTTACATGGCATGATGTCTGTTCACCGCTTGCGAAGTCTTGTGCGTTACGCTGGTGGTGGGTTGGGCTTGCACTTTGTCATTTATGTACTAGAATATATGCAGTGAAAGTGTATGTGATGAGTACGCCTGTTCCAGTCAGTAAGAACCAAAAGCCACGCTGTCCACGAAATTACACCATGTTTTTTTTTAACAACCAGACTCTCAGCCTTAAAACAAGTTCGTAAGTCTTTCAGAAGCTCTGTTGTCTTTTATAATTTCTCATCAGTAGCCCCCCTGAACTACATCTTCAAAATGACACAACTCACATGGCTGTCAAACGCTAGACGAAGTAAATTTACTTTTGTCCATGACGTTGTGTAATGTATAAACGGTTACACCTGCAGTAGAAACTGCGACATTCGGATTACAGCCAAGGTACTTACGTAAAGGGTTCCGTCGACTAAACCGTAATGAACTTACAGTGCTATATATGTTAACGCCAAAAAGCGGACGCAGTAGTGGTGCGACACTGCGAGAATTACCTATATATAAATGTGTCACGTGTGCTATCAGTAAAAATCATTGCCTTCGGAGCAACAATATCACCGATATCTTGAGAGTTCATCCAAACTCTGACCAGCCCAGTAACAACGCTGAAAGCAGTATTCACGTTTAAGCGTGCACTGAAGGTCTGAGCAGCCTCAAACAAGTGACGAGGTTAGTACCAACGTTACTAGAGTAATCTAGTAACGTTGGTTAGTACCACCAATATAAAAGCCAACAAGCAACATTGAATTCGTCACCCATTCAACATCCTCACTGGAACTCATTCACTCAGACCGATTTCACTCACAGTGAAAGGGCTGTTTCTGTATGGTTGTTTCTGGGTCCTGCAAAATCAAAGCTGATACGATGGTGTTTATCCGATGCAGCAAGCGTTCGTGCCACATTGATGCCGGCTTGAACCGAGGCTGCGATTACAAGGACATCATGGACGCCGTGGAGGAGAACAAGTTCTGGAAGTCCAGGGACTCGCCCGGCCGAAGGAGGCGGTACATTTCATTTTTCTTATATATTATCGATTCCATTTATACCGTGTGCATTTCACATTAAGACTAGAGCGTCGCCTTGAAACGTAACACTAATACAGCAAGTGAGGAACTATAGTTTATTTTATTTTTACCATTTGGTTCGTTGAAAACATCTCAGGCCGTGCTTTTAACGGTTGGTATGTTGTTTTTATTTATGCGCATATCGTCCCTGCTTTTATATGTATGCTGTCACTCTGTTTGCATTTACACATACTTGGCAGTAAATCTTAAATATTTAACGATTAACGACCAGTGCAGTTACGCTAAATGACGACTCTGTCACTGGATGTGTAGCTAAAAGACCCTATAGATTTTAAAGCACCTCAAGTTGAACTATACTGCAATAACCTTCGAAACACGACGTCATTAAAGGTAAACTGTGTTCAACATGTGTAAAGTTCCTTTCGTCACAAATCTCTGCCTACATAGTAGGCACGTGACAACATAGCCGAATAAGTTCCCTAGCAAAGCAGGCTACAAAGCTTATTAGTTCAGTTTCAGTTTCAGTTTCTTTCGGACATAGTTACATGACATGAAATATGTCCACGAGGCAAGGCAAAAGGAGACTCGTATGTCTCCTGACGAGGCCTTCACCCCGGAATTACACGTCGGACAGCCAGGAGCAAAATCAGAGAAAATAAGTACAATGCTCATTGCAGAACCTATATAAACAAAAAAACGAACAGTAAAAAAACACATTGGGACAAAAGTTATACAAAGTTTACATTGTTCAGGTTTAACAGTTTTATAAAGTTACATAAATATACAAAATTACATATTTTCGTGTTGAAAGCAAAATAATTGTAATTTCAAGGAGGCAGGAAAAGTAGTCTTACTTGTTTTTTTAAAACGAGACATACTTGAGTTCTGATTAGCCAATTCGATTAGGGATGGGTATGCATTCAGAAATGAAATAATCTGATAATCTATAGTTTTAGTACCATAATTAGTTCTTGGTCTTGATCCCGTCAATGAAATAGTGCGAAGGTCATATGCCACTTGTCTATTTAGATATTTGCTTGAGAACATGGTGCGATCACGTTTGAATTCGCGGAAAATTATTGCTGCCAAAGAAAGCTGATATAACTCTGAGAATGGTGGTACGTTCAGACTTTTATACAGAGAGTCAGTTGATGGGGGAGGATTAGCATAATATATTTCGCTTCACGTACTGAAAAAAATGTGGTCATTCTTATTCTGTTTTATTTTTTATGTTTTTGTTGTTTTTTATAGAGGAGGGTGTTCATACTTTATATATGTATGTATGTATGTATGTATGTATGTATGTATGTATGTATGTATGTATGTATGTATGTATGTATGTATGTATGTATGTATGTATGTATGTATGTATGTATGTATGTATGTATGTATGTATGTATGTATGTACACGCAAAACGGAAGATCTTTTGGTCCACCTTTTTCCAGCTGCGCCAGTGTACGCCAAAACTAGAACTTACGTCATGAATGCCAAAACAGATCAGTAGCCTGTTGCGCTATTACTTTACCCTGCAGACAATGAAGTGAGGATTTTCTCTTTTGATTAGTTGCTGTTTGTGGTACCAGAGCAGAAATAAACGTATCTGAAGCCATTGTGGGAACAGGGGGCACATGTCTCGAATCTAAAACATGTATACGGACACCCTTTCGGTTTTTTGGGCTTCTTTTTATTGGACAGTTTTACAACAAGTTCTGCCTGTTGCAAATGAGTTCTGCGGAATTCTCGCAAGGTAGCGGAAGGGTTAGGAAAGAGATAATCGACAACCAACCGTCTTCAGCACAAAAACACAAGGAAATCCACACAGACTTCTCAATAAGGAAAGCTTTTGGCTGAAGAAACCTTCGTCCTCATACGGAGATAATAACTTGGACTATCACCTTAGCGAGGTAGTCACTCTCCATGAGCCAAGCAGGTCTGTGTCCATGTGCTTCAAAATGTTGGCTAATCTGCCCTCATGCCGCCAATCGCTAGCGTCCTGATAAGCTCAATCAATAGAGTGACCGCCCCGTAAAGGCGTTGGTCCCGGCTTCGATCACCGCACCACAACGAAGCTTTTTTTTCAACCAGAAGGTTTTCTTTCTGAGAAATCCACACGTGCGCGGTTTGTGCTACAGACGCGGGATTGTCAATTATTTATCTCTAAAGTTCTGCCTCTATAGCGCGCATCGAACACAATAATTAAGCATATAACTCACCCCAACTATTCTAGTAACGTTGACTCACCCTGCCCCCCCACCTTTTTTTTTTACCCACATCTACGCAGATCTATTGAAGATAAGGCGACCAAGGCGGCGACCTCCAGCCAGGCCACGCAGGACGCGGTCGTCAGGAGCGTCCAACAAGCAGCAAACTAGACGTTGGCCAGCCGCCTTAGCCCTTCCCGCGCCTCCATACGTTTCCCGTTTTGCTCGCCAGGGTACCTTTTCCCATTGCTATATACATATACGTACACACAATACGGCCCCTGCTGCCCTGCCCTTCCAAGGAGCGCCGCCACTCACCTATTCTCATCCTGACTGCAACGACCACTCCACCTCACCCGCAACTCCAAGGTCCCCCCCCCCCCTCTTGTCATCGACAGTAGCAGCATAATCTCTTTTGTTCCCGTTCACTTTTTGTACAGAACACTCCACCCTGCAGATCTGCTCCACGTAACCGCATGGTAAGTATACAACGATATAGCTGTCAAGCGCCTTTGTAACGCCAAAAGCCGTTTTATTGAATTGCTGTGGATCTTCAACATGCTTCGTTATAGAGGTTATCTTGTCACGCACAGTAGCGTTTACGATATATCAGGTACATAACGAATCATTCGTTGTGCAGGTCATTTAGCTATAGAGACGTTCGCTATAGAGGCATTTCAAGAGCACTTCGTGTGTCTGCCGCTGTAAAGGTTAGACATGGCTCTGATAATGACCTTCATGGTCATTACGCAGTCGTAACATCAGGTACTCTCATCCATCAATTCCGTGACAAACATACGCTATAAAAGGCGTAGAGAAATTAGCGTATTGTTATGTAATTTCAAAACCGCGGCGAAGTGTATTTCCAGCAGCAAAACTTTTGACTCGGACGTGTTGGTTCAACATTTATCCACAAGCACAGAGCGACCGAGGCAGGACACGAAGAAACACAAAACAGCGCTTGTAGCGCGGTGTCGCGTTTCTGCGTGACTTTCCCCAGTCCCGCTGCGCTCTTTAACAAACAAACATATGTGTATTGTATATGGATGCGCCGTCGCAGCTGTGACAAACATGGAGGGCACGAAGCGACAATTCAGACGTAATCCAGCTATGACGCAGCTGTCATCACAGCTTCGAATTCTGCTTAATTAAATGTTGTGCTTTCAAGTTGCAAAACTTCTACATGAATATACATGAGAGATGTCCTAATGGAGGGCTAAGTTTCATTTTCATTGACGAGCTCACAGATTAAATACGAACAATTGTTAATAACATTCGTGGGACCCTTAAGCTTCGTAAAACCTATCGCGTTAAAATAAAAATGTCATCAAACGTGCCCCCCCCCCCCCGTGAAGCTACAGGGCATGTTATTTCTGTAGCGCTTGTTGTAAGCACAGATTGCAAGGTAGTGCAACACCCCATGTATAATATTTGTGCATGCATCTCGTTTCAGTTCGATGTGCTCCGAGACCACCGCCGCAGTCGCCTCCTCGACCACGGTCCCAGCAAGGCCCCATGGTCCCCTCGCGCGCTCAGAGGCCCGCTTCAACTCCCACGTGGGGGCTCTGTGTTCGATACGTCCTCCGTCTATGCGTGGCCACAACATGTACTACTTAATATAGTTTACCTTGTAAACAATAAAGTGTCTATTTTCCCCCATGGTCTTTTTCTGGCTCCGGGCTGAATCTGCTTTGGGCCGGCCGACGCGGGGCAAGAAGTTCGACGGAGAAAGAAAGAACGTCCCTATATTAAAGGGCTTGAGGTCTTTAGAACATGGAAAGAGAAGATGAGAGAGATTACAACAGCGGCTTGGTGGACGACTTGGTGCATCATCGCGTTGTTGAACACTGAAAAAATAAAAACAACTACAAAATGACAGGGAGGACGTCCTATGAGCACTTTTGTTTGGCATAAAAAATGGCTATGCTTCCTCGGTTTTAAAAAAATGTGTTTTTAGATGGTGCGACTACCTTGTAGTAAGGTGTAACGCTGTTACGGATGCTCTAAAATATGTTGGCGGCTCCATGGCAGCACCCCTGCCAGTCACATTGTTTTTAGGCGTTCAATATAAGTAGAAGCCGTTGAGATGCGAAGTGCAAAGAGATTAACCGGAAGGGAAAATATGGTACACTATACCCCACACTGTAGGGTACAAGTTGGACGATAAGAACTAAGGTATCGGTAGAGAAAAGAAGGTGCACGGAGAAGTAAGGAAAGTGTGCCAGGCTGAGTCCGGTTGGCTGCTCCACAGTGGGAGAAAGGTGAAAGTGACTGAAGTACTAGACGGAGGAGAGAGATGAGCGCTCTTCACAGACACACGCGCGCAAAGGAGCGTTCGCAGTCGGTCAAGGCTGACGCATCTCAGGAAGAAATTTATGTTGCGCGAAGCGAAAAAACGAACACAGGAAAGAATAGACTGAGAAGACAGAGCGCATAATCACTCTGTCTTCTTAGCGCTCTGTCTTCTCAGTTTATTCTTTCCTGTGTTCGTTTTTTCGCCTCGCGCTACATAAATTTCTTTCAAATGTTTCACCAACAAGCCCACATCGTCACTCTTGGCATCTCAGGATACGCAGAAACACTTTCGTGTCATTGCACGTTGTACGAGGCCACACTTCAAAGAATTTGTAAGAAGAAATGGTGTTGGAAATCGAAGGCCCGTAGGCATTCCTCTTGATGTCAGTACCTGCGCCATTAAACATTTGAGGACTGAATAACCTACACGTATCTCTTTTTTTTTTGCTGTGCGATATGTCCCACTGAGGCAAAGCTTGTTTAATTTATCTAACAGATAACGAAACACTGTGCCTTGGTATTGTCGCCTCTTGATGGTCAACATTTCCGTACTTTTCGTTCTTCAAGAGGCACGGCCACCCTTCTACGTGACGGTTTTCTTGAGAGAGGAATTTATTGCCTATTGTTCTTTTAACAGCATATACGGCTATAGTCAGTTTAAATAAACCGACTTAGGCAAATGACGGCAAACCGTTCACGTTTTACCACAACTCTCTCTTCTTCGCAACCACGTCGGGTATACAGCACCGTACAGTCGGAATGTATTCAAACCAGTATCGAATCCAAACCACAACGTAATAAAAGCAGCCGCCAACTGAGACACTAAGGTATTGGGTAGAATAGCGACAGCATGTTCATCATATACAGTTATGTATATCTGTGTAAACGTACATCGTTTGATTCATATGTATGTTCCTCTATGTAATACCCCCTCTTCCGCCTTTGGGGGTATTATAAAATAAAATTTAAAAAGAAATAAAGAAAGAAATGCTGCAGCTTCGACAAGCGCAGCCACAGTTTTATTTATTTCAATCGTTTCAAGTGGCACCGTGAGCATTGCATCGGAATCAGCAAATCTTAAAAAGCCCTAACAAGCCATCGGTCGAGCGAGTCGCTAGATCTCGCACACATGTTTACAGCAAGTGCCAAGCGTACTCATTTCCGCACGTCCTGTCGGCTGGGCGTGCGCAGGGACTGCTGGTTTGATGACGTAAAGATTGGCAAACGCATGCGCGAAGCCCGCTATATCGACCTCTCGTCAATTCCCACAGAGCCACCGCGAAAGGTGGCTGCAACCTATAGCTGCGCTTGTATGCATTGTGCAGGTTTTTTTTTTTTGTACAACGTTCCTTTATTGAAAATCTACTTGCCGACCTACTTCTGCGTCCAATCAGTATGGTTACGTCATCGGTACCAGCCATGACGTGCAGACTCCGCCACATTTAGGGGAAACACCTCGTTAATATACAAGAGCTCATAACAGCTGATGTTTGAAAAAAAAATTTGGAAAGCTTATCTTTTTTTGTGTTAACAATTACTGCAGGCGTCATAATGAGCCTTGCGGTTACACGCTAATGCCTGTCAATGCCAAGGTATTCCTTGTGGCACTCGGCAATCAATTCCAACGCTTTGGGGACTGAGAACAACTTCAGTGTACTCAACGTTCATGGTCTGCATATTAAGGTCGTCCAAGGAACCACACTGCACAGTCGATCAACATACACGATGACAGCGCAGAGTATAGTTGGTACATTTGGACGAGCTTTCCACAGATCAGTGCATCATTCATTGTAGCGACAACACGAGTGTTACCAGGCGAGGCAACGGAGGCTACGCAACAACCTGAAACGATGCCATGTATGGCGGGGCAGAACATCGAAGAGGCAGAATGCGGCATGCCACGCCACTTCTTGGCTCGCTTACCTCTTTTCCGCGTGGCTCACTGTGACGTCGTAGCTCCGGAACTTATAGTGTCACCGCTCTCGCTTTGAAGCACAAGGCAGCTGGCACTTAACTATTCTGGAAGTTGACGGCAGCGCGAAAACATATTGCCGTAGGCAGGGTTTCAGGTTCTTTGTTCCGGCGGTGCTTGATCGTCTAGGCCTTTTTCGAAGTTTCGGGAAGATCGGAGGCAAACGATGCACATTCACCAGCCGCGACATCCCAGATTGCCGAGTATGGAAAGGAAGTTTCCAATGCCCGAAAATTCCGCAGCGTGCGCTCGGCATGACTTGGGACTATAGGGTGCCTCGAAGTGAATACCCCCGCAACGGAAGAGCGGGCATCGAGGCACTTTATACTTGGGGCACAGGCCCCGCCGCGGTGGTCTAGTGGCTAAGGTACTCGGCTGCTGACCCGCAGGGCGCGGGTTCAAATCCCGGCTGCGGCGGCTGCATTTCCGATGGAGGCGGAAATGTTGTAGGCCCGTGTGCTCAGATTTGGGTGCACGTTAAAGAACCCCAGGTGGTCGAAATTTCCGGAGCCCTCCACTACGGCGTCTCTCATAATCATATAATGGTTTGGGGACGTTAAACCCCACATAACAATCAATCATACTTGGGGCACTGTGGGCCTCTAAACCACACCGAGTTCAAAAGCGAGACCCGATAGTTTCCTTCTCGCCTTCGCTACCCTTCCCTCCCTCCTACTCTCCGCTAGTTTCTTGATAACACTCGCGGAATATCATTTTTCGAATGCACGACGCTATATCCACTTGCGCAGTCGCAAACTCAGAAAACGAAGGGAAATAGGTTTATGTATAGCGCGCGCGCCGGTCATGTTAGACAAGTCAGAACGGGCATGGCAACGCAGTTATACGGGAGACGATTTACTCGTATATTGACCGATCGAGAGCTTATTTCACCCTGAGGTCACGTGAACAAGCAGCTGACGTAACGAATTGTGCCGCAAAGACTGGAAATGCCGGGAGAAAATGACGCGGTCGTTCTTCGCATTTGCAGAGGTAGTCTACAGGGGCCCTTTAATTTCGTAAGCACAGGTCGATTCCTTTTGAAATGTCACCTTTTTTTTCCCTCAAATTTTGGCCGTAGTTGAAACGCACGACCTTCTAGCTTGTGAATAGCGCATTCCAACACAATCAGCTCATACCTTCATGCCGTCGTGAAGGACGAGGCTCGCGGTTGCCCGCTATATGTTACGCGACGCACACGGCCAGTTGAATCAGACAGTAAAGAAAAAAAAAAAAGCTTCCTGGAAGAAATACTTCCGAAAGTCCTCGGGACTTACGTCCCTTTGGGAATCACTCTCAGAAAAAAATAAGTATACTTATGAGAAAAATTCACGGAAGGGTGAATTCTGTGCTAACTCATAGCGCTGCACCAGTAGCGAAGCTTGGGAACCCTGTAATGGGTCCTCCCATTCAGTACCTTAATAATCGTCACCGAATGTCGTCCAATATAACCATCTTTTGCTCAAACAATATTCGACTCTTGGCATAAATTCAGGCCATCCTCCGTTCCAAAAAGAACCAAGTTGAAAGCAAATCGTGCCTGCCGTACCAGCAGAGTGGCGCTCTTCGCTATAGGTTCTGAAAACTCTGCTGCATGGCGATGAACCAGTGTTGCGGAGTTGCCACTACGGAATTGGAATGATTCCGGAATTATCTCACATTTTCGCTACACCGGAACTAAAGTGTACTAGAACTTTTGAGTGGCGCGACCGAAACGCTTTCCCCTTGCTTTCTCCATCCCCAACTTGTGGCGAAAGTAGCGGCGGCGCTGCCATCGCCCAATCTTCCCACTTGGTTTACTCGGCTGGCTCGGCGGCATGGCCGGCATCTCGGTTTTAGTCGCGAAATGACGAAGAAGTAGCGTCTAAACGATCGTTACGCGCCAGTTTGCACAATTGGATATCCGCGTGTGCAACAAAGTCGGAAGTTATCACTTTTTAAGGCCCCGAAAGACGAAGAACGACGACTTCTTTGGGAGCGGAACCTCCATCGGCTTGACAAGCCGTTTGACGCCGATTGTGCTGTGTGCGAGTTACATTTCAAAACGCATTTCATTGTGAGAGACTACGTACATGTTATCAATGGTGTTCAAGTCCGAATTCCTAGGGGAGCGCCGACACTCGCCCCTGATGCAGTCCCGACGAACTTGCCCAACCTGCCTGCATATTTGACGCTCAAAACTCCGGCTCCGCGGACCCAAACAAAGCGGCGTCATCAGTGTGTGCCGGCTGAGAATGACAACAGAAAACAGCGACGCATTAGCACTCCTGCACAGCTTTTTGTGGATACCAACGGTGCAACTTCTGCAGATGGCGACGAAGCTGACGAGGCAAGCTCAAGTCCCTCGTCTGACGCGGTTGTCACTCTCGGTGACCTTCGTGGTCTTGTCCTACCATCAA